CTCTCTTTTTTTCTATTGCGCCACACGTCTATCGATCGATATATATCGTTATTGAATTATCGCCCAGCCCTAATCTCTATATTGTTATTTGTTAAACAGGCCACCCCCTCTACTGCCAGAAGGACCAGGAGGGCTCAACAAGATGAATGCAATGCCCAGCAGACCCTCGGAGAAACCTGCAAAACAGGACCTTTAGAAACTCCTGCAACCTCAAAGAAAAGATGTACGAGATCCTCCAGACTCCACAGTCCAGAGGAGCCCTCCACTCCGGTAAGCTCCGTCCATGAAGGGGAGATGTCTGATGTGGAGTCGCTCTGCTCCGCGGTGTCAGATGCTGAGCCCCCACTTACACGGGCCAGAGGGAGGATCAGACCGCTCAATGGGAAGGATCAGGAGCATGAGACATCCGAGGTGGAGTCCTGCTCCTCTGCTGTGTCTCCAGCCAAACCAAAAATCAGCAGCAGCCGAAGCACAAGAAGAAAGCCTGCTCAGACTTCATCACAGTCTGAGGTGGACAGCGGAAAAGTGGGAACGGGGCCGGAAGCAGAGCCCTCCAGCTCTGCCGTGTCTGAATCTCAGAGAGTTACTAGAAGTCAGAGGAAAGCCGCTCCCGCCAGAGCCTCCGTAAGACGACATGCCGAGGATTCAGAGCTCTCTGAGGCCGAGAGCTGCACATCCAGCATCTCAGGGCGAAGGTCCAGAAGGCTTATTCGCCCTATTCCCATTCACCTGGATGAGCTACCTGAAAGCTCCCAGTGCCCTACACGAACAACTCGACAAACCAAGGCAAGCACGAGGAGAGCAGTTTCCATAGAGGAAGATGATAAGGAACCGTGTTGTGACTCTGAGGGGTTTGAGTCTGGACCCACCTACAGTCTGAGCACCTGTAGACGAGGCAGGAGCCAGTCTGCTGTTTCTAAAACTGCTCTGGATTCAGAATCTGAGGACATGAATTCATCAGGGGGGGGCAGAGGAACTCCCTGCAGCAGTCGTGCAGGGTCAGGGAGCAGCAGTCGGAGAGCTCCAACATCTAGGCGGTCTACAAGGAGCAGCAATGTTTTAGAAACGACTCAAGAGCCGTCTGAAGAGGAGAGTTCTTTCAACGATTCCAAGTTAGAAAGCACCGTGTTCGGAGAGGACATGGACAGCACTCTGGTTGAGGAAGAAAAGATACAAACGTCTGGAGAGCAGCAAAGTTTAGTCAACGCTAAGATCATCTCCAGTGGAGCGGATGATGAAAAAGTGGACGAATCAGAAGATGTGGAGCTCCCAGGGTCAGCATGTGCTGAAGATGTCAGTGAGCATGCAGTGATCACCAAAGACCTGAAGGAGGAGCTGTCCTCTGAAAGTAAAGCCGGAGAGGCCTTAGAGATGGACATGGAGGAAGTGATTCCACCATCACAGCCAGTGCAGACTCTCCAATCTGTCCCAGAAACAGCAGGTGGGACAGACTCTGAAATGACAGAGCTGATCGAAGAGAAGCAGAAAGCTGCAGACGAGCCTCTGGAGGATGAAGATGAAGATGAAGCTGATGTGGAAATCCTCCCCAGTGTGGAGGAAACGCTGGAAGCTCAGGTAAAGGTGAGCCAGCAGGGAAAGGTCTCAGTAGAGTCTGAGTCTGAGCAGCAACCTAAGGCAGCTGTTGTCCAGAAGACAAAAACCATCAACCTCCTCGATAGCAGCGATGATGAAGATAGCTTTAGCGAGGAAGAGGAGGATCGAATGTCTGATGATGAGGATGATTCAGGGAGCAGAGAAGAGAGAGCAGGTTCTTCCAGCGTGTCCAAAGTTGCCTCAGCGTCTGCAGTGGAGGGGCTGTTCATGATCGACACTCGACCCGGACAAGATGCTGACCAGCAGTACTACAGAGCGGAGGAGGAGGAGGAGGAAGAGGCTCATGGAAAAGCACAGCAGGAAGACGAGGAAGAGTTCATAGATGAAGAGGGGGATGAGGAGGATGACGAGGATTCAAAAGTCCTGTTCTTCAGCAGAAACCCTCAGTTGTAAGTGAAATAATTTCTTTCAGCTTTATTGAGAGAACAATGTTTAGACTCTACATATCAGAAGAGTTTTTATTTCTTTCCCATCCAGCCATGAGGAAAACAGTTTTATTTCCTAAGTGTGAACACTGCTCAGTTATTTCTAAACCCGGCCTTTGTGAATGTTTAAGAGCCTTTGAGGCAAAAAATACGCCGATCACCTTTCTGATAAAATTCAAGGTGAGCGTCTTTCACGCTTCCTGTCATATCCCACAAAGACGAGAACAAAAGCCTCAGATTGACGGATTGTTGTGGAAACCTGTTGACCTGGAGGACACGCTCCTGGAGTTTTCTAAGGCTGCGTACTGATAAAGGATATCAGGTGCTGTGTTTGCCACTATGAAAGAAGACTGCTGAGCATAGTGCAAATATATAGAAGGGCATCCGTTTTTGGCCAAAGAGTCTAAACTTTTAGGAGAAACATTCTTTTTTTTTTTTATAGCTACTCTCTTCTAACCTTTTTAGCAATTGTGTGCACCAGGTATTCACTGACGGGTCCACCCCTTAGTAATGGGGAGTTGTTGAGGTCATTGTTGACCCAGCAAGACCCAATATTGGCCCATGTCTCTGAAGAGGGATTCGTTAGGGTCAAAGTTTGCCTGGGCTGACAGGTGAGGTATTGCAGACCAACAACAACCTCAACGACTCCCCAATACTAAGGGGTGGACCTTAGTCACAAAGCCATAACAAGGCTTTGTTGGTCAATTCTATAAAACTTGGGACTCAATGCCAATCCAGACATTTAGAATTGAAAAAGCTTCCTGAAGCAAAATGTCTTCAACTTGGAAAACAAAGTCAAGTCTTTTTCATTTATTTATTTTTTTTACTTTTTTGAAATGACTATGACCAGGATGACTGAGAATGTTCACCTGCATAATGAGACTTCCCTTACCAGGAGGTCACTGACTGTGTGTTGGGTCACAGAACAACCCTGGATCCTTCTTTAGCCTTTTTTATTTCTCCCCTAGTTGGTACTTTAAACTATTATTACAATGTCAGTGGAAAAGATCACGGTTGGGCTAGCAGCTGCTCTCTTGGTCTCGTTTCATACACACACCCTCCTTGCTTTCCAATTTTGAATGATGGCTTTAGAGAAATGGGCCTCATGTTGTTTCTTTTTTGTTTTTCTCCTAAGGGTAACAGAAATTTATGGAGGCAAATTGGAGTTTCTGATCAATTTAATTGGGCCCTTTTACCCCACAATGTAAAAGGTACTCAAATAGGCAGTTGGGATTTTCAGATTTTGGTTTGAAGAAACCTTTGAAACTATGAGTTCATTCCTGTAGGAGGGGGTCAGACTTTACAGATTGGCAGAATAAAATCCTCCATTACTTTGAAAGCTGCATCATTATTTAGTCTGTTATGGAGTTGCTCATTTGCATATATATTTTTTAAGGAGATAGTTTAGGTAATGTGGTGCAGACAGTAGAGCTTTCCGTTTCTTTTGCTGCCAAACTGAGAGTTTAAGACATGGCGGCTGCTCATGAGAATTTCTCCCTCTGCCTATTAATTTCAGGAAAGACTTGTCCAGCCGTATTGACCCCGGCCTCAGGGTGAAGGAGCTCGGGGGTTTATACATCAGTTTTGATGGCAGCAAATCAAAACCTGTCTCCAGCTCACTGCAAAAGCTGAAGGAGAAGAAGAGCCATGATGAGGTAAATTACCAATTAGATTTTTCATCCTTTGTTTCTCAGAAAATGAGCTGAGGGGCAGAATGAATAATGAACTAAGTATTAGTTTGGGATTTTAGATTCTTTGTTCGTTTCTTTCTCTTGTCCACAGATAATGAAGAAAAGTGTGATCGGACCGGACTTTGAGAAGAAGGATGCTGTGCCTCCATACAGTGAATCGAAACAGGCTTTAAAGTTAAAACGCAGAGTAAGTTAAAGCCACAATCCTTTATAGTTACCGTTTTTTATTTCTTGCATACCCTTTTACAAATGTAGTCCCCTTTGTCCCTCAGTGAGGTCTAGAAGCACAAGATCTATATTCAGCCATTCAGCAAAGATCCTGCTACATGGCTTTACGTCTTATTTTGACATTTGACCAATTAGATGAGCCCTATAACGATATATTACCTACTGTAAATTAAGCTTGAAAAAAAAGTTAAGTCAAGAAAAAAAAGGTAAAAAGCTAATTTAAAAGTTGAAAAGTAAAGTTAAAAGAGTTAATAAGCCTAGTTAACAATTATATTTAGGTTTATAAACTAAAAAATGTAAGTGCCAGTATCAGCATTAATGCCTCTAAGGTTATGTTGTACCAAAAAAAAATGTTTCTTTCACTCTTTCTTTCTTTTAGAAGCACTTTTGCATTTTTACTTAATATATTCGGGCAAGTTGGCGTTTCTTGTTATTACATTGACATTCATTTTTGCCATCAAAATATCCATATTATTTTTAATGTTACAAAGGTAATAAGGTCTATAATAGGTCTTGTCATAACATTATTGGCTTAAAATTTTGATTTTTCCAAGTATTTCACTGAATTCCCTATTAAGGGTTAACTCTTTGTGCAACCTCAGCATCAGCAAAGCTTCTTCGATATTTCTCTTTTTTTAGGCAGAGAGGGAGAAATCAACAGGAGACGGTTGGTTCAATATGAAGGCTCCAGAGATTTCCCAGGAATTGAAAGGGGACCTTAAGCTTCTGAAGATGAGGGGGTCCCTGGATCCCAAGAGGTTCTACAAGAAGAATGACAGAGATGGGTTCCCCAAATATTTCCAGGTTGATGACACAGTTTACCTTATGATTATCTTGTTGTACATTGCAGTCTTTTGAAATCTCATGCCTGATGCCTCTGTTTTATTGCATCCCTTATTCTACATGACTGACCCAGATGGGCACAGTGGTGGACAGCCCAGCTGACTTCTATCATTCCCGGATTCCCAAGAAGGAGAGGAAGAGAACCATGGTGGAGGAGCTGCTGAATGATGCCGAGTTCAGACTGTAAGTTAAACCTATAAAGAGTTAGCATTCTGTAAGATACAAATTTAACAGTTTGTTCTGTGTAAATTGCCTTAAACTAAATGTTTTTATTACACTGCTATAATCTGAGTTAAAACTGTAGAAACATCATGTAGGGCTGGAGTCCAGCTAATCGGCCACTTCAGTTCTGATGATTTGTGAAAATTGTGTGTGATTTCAGATAAACTGTTTAATTTAATTTGGTCCTATGTTGTGGGTCAGCATTCTGGTGAAACATAAAACCCCATTTACACTACCTTTTTAAAACTGCCAGAACAATCTGAACACTGTAACCGAGACAACTGAGTGTAAATGGTATGCAACTGACCTGGTCTGTTCCAGACACATTGAACTGCCCAAAATCTAGAACTAGTTCAACAGGAGGACTCAGCGCGGTTCATCTGTGGCTCAGTTTTCTGATAACAAAGAGCACATGAGCAGACCATGTCATCTCCTATTGACAGTCAGCTGACTCATTTCGCTGTTTTCCACTGTGTCTAGCTTTGCAATTCACAGACCTCTTCACTTGTTAACAAAACTACTTCTCAGCCTATTAACAATAAAGGGCATCAAAAGAGTGTGGTGCGACCTGGGATGATGCAGAGACCGAGGCTCCCATTGAAATTTGGGTGGAGGTCGCTATCCAGGCACATAGGTTGCTTAATTGTCTCTAGGAGGCGAGGAACCGTGCTAGCATGATTTGTAAAGGGTTGTAAGAAACAAGCTCGGCACGGTCAACTGATCGAAGCTCTGTCCGAACTTTTCACGGATCAGTTTCAGAGGGGTAGAGTAAATGGGGCAGTAGAGATTACATCCAGTTTGAACAGTTCCTACTAGCAGAGTTTGTGTTCAAAAACATCCTGGTTGTCCAAGCTGTGCTCTGCTAGAGCTTTGCAAAAGAAACGGGGCCACATCATCACTGATCCTTTTCCACATATCCTGTCTCTGTTTCACACCAAACTGTGGTTCTTGTTTTTGAAACGACCAAAACCATTTATTTGTTAAAAACAAATTTTCCCATTTAAGGTTCCAGTAGTTGTAATTGGGTCAGTAAACACTTTTTTGACATGCCTTTTATACATTTGGCATTTAGACAGCCTCTAAGGGTTGTTATGGAGATGTGGTGACCTCATAAGGCCATTCCTCCTTTTAAGGGGAGAGCCAAACTGAAGCCCCCTCTGCTTCCTGTCAGGTGTCATCTTTGAACTGGACTATCCCGTGGAGTGTTTTCATAGAAGCCTTTTTGAACAAACTGCATTAAGATCAGTAATTGATTGAGCTTGATTGGTGCTGGTCTAGCTTTACTTGTCACAGTTCTTGGTTTGCATTAATCCAGTGTTTATATTGGTCCCAGTATTTAATAGTGTTTCACCGATACCAGTATCGGGCGGGGCCCGATCCAGCACTAAAATGTAGGCATCGGTATCTGCGAGTACCAACAAATAGGGCAGCGATACCATTTTGAGAGCAAAAGGTTTATTCAACTATTATCATCCATTCCAGGTAGGCAATAAAAAGTTCTACTGGATTCACTGTTTTAGTCTTTTTCTTGCTTTTCAAAGGTAGGCAGCATCTTGACAAAGCCATGATGGTAATTATTTTACATCCAAGTAGTATGCAGCTCTTCATATATACACACACACAGGCGCATCAATTTCAAACAGATGGTATCGGCCAATACTGCACAGTCATGTAACGGTATCGGGGCCAAAAAAATGGCATCGGTGCGTTATTGGGGAAAATGGGTCTAATCCACAGGGGCAGATTCATTCAGTCTATATCTATAATAAATTTAAGTTGGGTTATAAATCTATGGAATAACAGATTTATCTGCTCTTTATGGGCATTAGCGGGATTAATCAATTTATGAAATACAATTAATATATTGATTAATCTTTATCAATACTTATTAGGGCTGAACTATTTTGCCAAAAATTTAAACTGTAATTATTTTCAACCAATAATATGATATAGTTTAGATTTTCCTTTGCACTAAGCACGAGCTTTTAGATGTTTCACTCCAAGGTCTCTGTTTTTTCATTATCTTGAAAGCTTGCTTGTTCAATGTCCATCATTGCAGAACTTTACTGTAACCTGAAAGGCGCTCACTTCTACTTGCATGCATAGATCTGTGTGCTCGCTGGAAACTCTTTCCTTTCTACTTTAGTTATTACTGCAAACTAAAGTGCTGGAGTGAAAAAAAAAAAAGTCTCCTAGTCTTCTTAAATGTCTGAAATTGACTTCTGCAATTTGAAAATTTAGTTTTGTTAAATTTTGCAATTGTGATTAAAAATCAGCCCATTTCATGTTAAAATTCAGGGAACTATAAATATATATATATTTATTTTATAGCCTCTTACAATTATTCTCTGCCTATATATCATTTAAAGTCTATGCATACATAGGTTCTGTGCATATGTAAATAAATAAAATTTATATCTTATGTATCACTTCTGGATGGATGCAAACTACATTTCGTTGCTTGTACTTGTTACAGTTTAACGAAAATAAGTTGAATTCTATATGAATTCAAATTTTGGTGATTACTTTCAGTCTATACGGATTGTTAGGGGAGGCTGTCAGTACTATGTGAAAACAACTGTGGCCTTTCTTTATTATGTATTTGTTTATTTTGCTGATGAATGTGGAGGTTGCTCTAAGTGGTTGTTTCTTGTGTCAAGTAATTGTAGAAATTAAGTTAATCCCTTAATTTCTCGTTGGACCTTTGTTGAGAAACATCCTCTTTTTAAAGCCCATTAGAAGCTATTAGTAGGTGAAGTGCAGTGAATTAGTTTCTCTAATGGTCAAAGATTAATAGGTAAACAAAACAAGATCCATCCTGTGAATATAAAGTGACATTTTATTGCTGTTTCCGACTTGGATTCAAATAAACAAAAATAAAAATGTATTTTCTCGTTCCAGAAAAAACAAAAAGAAGTACCAGCAAATTATTGCGGAGAAAGCAGCACTAACAGCTGGGAAGAGGAACAAGAAGAAGAAATTCCATAAGAAGTGATGATTTGGTGAACCTCGATCATAGACGCTGATATTCAGTCCTTCATCATGAGGTCCCTCGTTGAAGAGGACGATGAACGTATCGACGGCGAGGCACTAAGCCGCTGTGGCTCCTGATCTTTGAAGACGAGATGATTCCATAACTCTGTACAGTCATCAATAAATAGGCCTTCATTTTGTCACCTGGGTTAATTTTTTTTAAATATAAGACACATTTCAAAATGTATACCTAAAATCTAAATCATTTTGCCTAAAAAGATTCTGGTGATTAAAATGAAACTTAAAAGTATCGATTCTATTTGAATATAATGGTCACTGAGCTGCAGAATAAAAGAGAAAAAAAAAAGTGTTCTCAGATTGACTGGAGTTTTTATTTTAAGACCTTTTAATTTTGTGACCTAAGTAATACAGGAATCTGTGCAGCAGTCAAACTATTATTACCGGTACTGCTGTTGGTCCAGATGTTACATTATTTTTGTTGCTTTATGTAAATCGGGTTTAATTCGGTGTTAAAGTGAAGAGAGGTCACATCATGATTAGCTGCGATAAACACCTGAACAGGAGAACTACACGCCATTCATTCATGTAACACTTATAAAGATGAATGTTTTTATTTCAGTGCCGTCTGAGTCTCTTTGTGTCATCTGCTCTTTTCATTCAGGATTACTTTTGTTCCTTTTTTTTTCTCGTTTAAATCTCTTCAGTCTTTAGCTCAGGGCTCCCAGCAGTAGCTCTTGGCTATCGTCATGCCTCTTTTGTGTTACGAGGCGAGCCCTCAACAGCTGCAGCTTACATCCTCCACGTCTCCTTCCCACACATGCAAAGCGGTGCTTCTGTATACCCGAGCCAGTTTAGTAAATGCCTTCAGCAAAAACAGAAAAAACCCAGCTCTATTTGGTTTGCACAGCCATTAGAGAACAGAGAATGGGTGGGAGGAAAAAGAAATGGCCTTTGTGTTCTCCAGATGTTTAAAACATGAACTGGAATAAAAGGAACATTTGAGAGATGGTTTGATTTCTATTAAAAAGGTGCAATTAAGAATTAATACTTTTTAGCCCAAGAGACCTTATTGGGACAATTGATGTCTTAATAAACAATTCTGTATTAAGGGAGTAAAAACGCTCATGCAGTGAATTAAAAGTCGCAGCTCCTTCTGGGGTCCCAGCTGGTTTTGTGTGTCTGCAGAATCTTCTGGACCCGGCTATGGATCTGCTCCCAGTAGGACGGACCAGGCTGCAGTCTGAAAAAGACCAAAGAATATCTTGATCACATTTTCATCCACTATGAGGGCTAGTGAGCTAAAACACAAAGATGGATTGTTTTAAATAATGCATGTTGGTGAACTAAGCTGTATGTTTCTTTTATTCATCGTCTATATCTGCTCCTCTCTGAAAGGTGGATTTGCATGTTTTCTAAGCCATGACGAGGCTTTTATTGGGCTTATCTATAAAAGCTTGGAGGTCAACGCTTCTCCAGACATTTTGAATTGAGAAAGCTTGCTGGATGAGAAACGAAACATCTTCAAACTTGGAAAACAAAGTCTAGTGGTTTGTTTTGAACTTTTTTTGGACTGAACATCGATTGATCAGTGAGCAAAAACCCTACTTCTAACCCTCATACTGAGTGACCATTAACCGTCTCTCTACTTAGCAGATGTTTCTATATCTCAAGGATAATAATTGAACTTTATAGATCTCACATTGGAGAAATTTACCTCCAAATTTATCCCCCTCCCCCTTGGGGAGCAGTGGGCTGCCATTGTGGGGCGCTTGGGGAGCAGTGGGCTGCCATTGTGGGGCGCTTGGGGAGCAAGGGTGTTGCTCAGAGACACAAAGTGGCAATCTGTGGGAGTGGGTTTCAAACTCACAACCTCAGGATTCCAAGTTCTATGACCAAACCACTAGGCTGCCACTCCCCCAATATGGAAACATATTCCGTGAAATTACAACTTTTCATATGCTCTTTTGTACTATATACACTCTTTTTATGTTGTTTGTTGTATTTTTATCTTTAATGGCATCTTGCTTTAACTCTATATAAGATATTGGAGCCAGAATGTCCCTGAAGGAGTAATCCCAAGGGATAAATAAAGTTGAATCTTAGGTCCAAGTCATGATTTTAGGACACTAGAAGGAATCGAGTAGCCAGAGACAAGTCCTGCATGCTCTGAAAAAACATAAAAACCCCATGCAGAGAAATCCAGGCTGGGATTTGACCAAGTTACCAAGCAGCCAACATAATCCAGCCTGAAATCCTCTGAGTCAATAACCTAACCAAGTGTATCCCCTAAGCTGCAGGCTTTATTACTCTGCTACTCTCTTAATAATGTCGTTATTAGGGCTTGATGATAAGTTAAGTAATTTCTTTATAACTGGTTGTCTTACAGCAGAGAGACATCTATAAAAATCCTGGAGGTAAATAACAGACTCCATCATGGTTTCTGGGTTCTTCAAAGTAAAGCCCCCTGAAGCCCTAAGAAATGTGTTTTTAACCCTTTCCATACAGAAATAATTTTTCTCTAGATCAGAACACAACTATCTAAACAAGTTTTACTCTTTTCAAAGATACTCAAATTTACTTCGACCAATTTCTATGGTGTGAAAACATACACTATATTTCTGTAATGTTACTTGTGTCCACTAGTCTGCGCTGCAACCAAAGTTGTGAGCGATGATGGTGAGATCAAACTCCAACACTTCAGGTCTTTGGTATCAATAAAAAATAATGTTCCCTTTTTTTGTCTAAATAATTCAGATTTTTCCTTATAAAAATAATTTAACAATAGTTTATTTTTCATCTAAACAAATGACCAACAGAATGGGGCACAATAATTCATAGGTTTTCTCCGGGAAGTCAGGACAAAAGGTTGCGGTGATAAAAACAGATCCTTCTTTATTGCCTCTCATCCACGTCCATTTGTCGGTACTGCAGGGGTGATAACTGACAGATTGACTGGTGTCTCGTCCTCGCTGGCACTGCTGGAACAGGAGCTTTTCATTTGTAATCAGATAAACTCAGTACCTGCTTCAAAAAGTCATCAAGGACAAATCATCCTGAGACATGAATAGACTGAGACTCAGAGGCTTAGGGGGCAAAAAGCTTCCACTGGCATCTGTCATTTTCTTTATAGATCAGAGATTGGTGAGAAACACGTGCCCCCTTCCCTGTCAGAGGGAATCTACAAAGGCCAAGTCTAATCTCCCACCCAGCAAATCCTGCAGTGCTTCCAGATGAGAGAAAAGTATCATTCATTTCCCACAATTTACTTTGCAGTTTAGGATTGTTTATTGATTTTAATGTTTACTTATGGACTGAACAAAGCAGAGCAAACAAACAGAACGGGACATCGGTTCTATCAGCGCGCTCAGCTCACATCTCCTGTGATTGATGACAAGGTCTCTCCGAACGTATTAAAGTGTGCATCGGGTCAAATACATCAGTCTCAAGCAGAAACACAAATCAATACCATTTCCTCTTTGTTTACCCTTCTCGCTGCCTTCTTTGTCAGTAATGACCAAACATGACAAGACATCAGCTTCTGTAATTTAAAAGGTGGAGGGGAATTCATGCCTCCCGTCGAGTGTGATCAAAATTAAAGATTAGATGTGTATGTACACAAACACACACACACACACACAGATCTGTCCGGCGGCAGCGGCGGCGCCGCCGTATGCAGACACCTCTTGGGATTTCCATATATTTGCCGTACATGGCAATTAAGAACTCATACAGGTGCCAGTTTTGGTTTAGAGATCTTCTAGGCAAACACAAACAGCGAGCACAGACGGATCTCCACAAATTCGGGACAAACATCAGGAAGAAAAATGAGGATTATGGCGGCTCTGGCTTCGGTGTGACAATGAGAACAGTTGGACTCTTTTGCAGCAAACATCCTTGGTTTATGGAAATATTTTTTCACATCTATCATTTAATCGCAAATAACTGAATACAAGTAACTCCTTCCATTTTAAATATAACTGGGTTTCTTTTTCATTATGTTCTGTATCACTACAGCTTGAATTATTATATTTCCAACTCCTGTGATAATTAGTTAAAAATAACCTGAATGATGGAACTGTAACTAATATACAGTCGTATGTTTACATTATCACTGCTGCTTGCCTTTATCACGGCTATCACTGCACTTTAAAAAATGAAAATGCCTTAGCTGTACTGAACGATATTTATTTTTGTATACACTCTGAGTACAAAATGATAATGAAATCTGTTTAAGTCTAGTTAAGTCTCAAATACACGAATCATCGTTAGCTATCTGGCTGCTTTTGGTTTTTGCAACATGTAAAGAGTGAACCAAAGATGCATTCATTTGGGCAAATTCTTCCATGTTGAAAAGGTTTAATAAAATGTGGAAACCCTGTCAGGAGAAGGGATTTACCTGTCTCTAAGGGAGCAGCTGCTGACATTCAGAAGCTGTCCTGATTCTGACCTGGCCAGGCTGGAGCGAACTGATGCAGACCCCCTCACTGGGCTTTTGATCTTGGGTTGGTGTTGGGATCTTATCTCTGGAGACGGATGAACTCTCACTGAAGCTGATTCTATCTGGAAAAGGTTAAAAAAAAAAAGATTCTGACAGTTTCAACCTTAAAACTTAAAAAAGAAAAATATGTATGCAGTTCTGCAAAAAAAAATATATTTTAAAGTCATCTATCCAGGCTTTCATTATTGATAAGGTGGCAATGTTTCAGAATGTCTAAGCTAGGAATGTCATGATAGTCAAAAAAAACAAAAAAAACTGATAACCAGGAAAATATTTAATACTCAATTCATTTTCTAAATACCTTGGGGATAAAAATAATGGAAAATAATTAAAGTAAAAAAATATTTTCATTAAGATAAGAAACTCATCTAGACATGTGACTTGCTTTCTCAACAGATTCATAGATGTGTTCAAATAAATACAAAATAAATCTAAGAAATAATAAATATAAGACAATTTAACAATCTTTTAACGTGTCTTTTAAAGTATAAAGCAAACAACACTTGTCTTAAAAAGTGCATAGTCAGGTAATGTCCCTTTTGAGGCTAAATAGAACTCCAGCACCCGGTGTAATGTGCAGATGTAAACAGAGCGGCGCCATCTGATGGCAGTACCACAAAACTAGGGCTGCAACTAACAATCATTTTGCTAATCGATTAATCTGTCAATTATTTTTTTCTATAAATATTTTCTATAAATCTGTCAATTATTTTTTCTCAAAAATGTAATTGGTAGCAAAAGGTTAATTAAAGACATTTTTTTACAGAACCAGAATCAAATGAAACCAAAATTTCCACTTGAGGAGTTCTAGATAGAGCATATTGATGGTCTTGTTTTTTTTTTTTTTTTTTCTTATTTTATCTTAAATGCAAATATTTATACATACATACATACATACATACATACATACATACATACATACATACATACATACATACATACATACA